CTTCTAAAGCTGGCCATGGGCACAAACTTATAGTCCCCACTACGTGGGAGGCTGAGGCAGGAGGATCTCTTGAGATCAAGAGTTCGGTCCAGCCTAGGTAACATAGCAAGTCTATGTCTCTCTTTTTTTTTTTTTTTTTTTTTTTTTTTGGAGGGGGGAACCAGGGATTGAACTCCAGGGCACTCAACCACTGAGCCACATCCCCAGCTCTATTTTGTATTTTGTTTAGAGACAGGGTCTCACTGAGTTGCTTAGCACTCGATTTTGTTAAGGCTGGTTTTGAACTCACGATCCTCCTGTCTCAGCCTCCTGAGCTCCTCGGATCACAAGCATGCACCACTACACCCGGCTAAGACTCTGTCTCAATAAAAAAGAGGGGATGGGGTTGTGGCTTGCCTAGCATGTGTGAAGCACTGGGTTAGACCCTCAGCATTACATATAAATAAATAAAAGGTATTGTGTTTTAAAAAAAGAGAGAGAGAAAGAAAAAGAAGGAAAGAAAGAAAGAAAACCGACTGACTTCTAAATTGGAAGACTCTTTCTCCCCTTCCCCCTCCCCCAGTACTGCGGTACTCTATACTGAGCTTCATCTTGGCTCTTTTTATTGTTTGAGACAGGATCTGCTAAATTGGGCAGGCTAGACTCAAATTTTCAATTCTCTTGCCTCAGCCTCCTTAGTCACTGGGATTACAGGTATGTGCCACAACACCTAGCTTGAATTATTTAATTTTTTTAAGTTTTTAAATTATAGATGGACACAATGTCTTTATTTTACTTTATATCATGCTGAGGATCAAACCCAGTGCCTCACGAACGCCAGGTGGCCGCTCTACTTGTGAGCCACAACCCCACCCTAATTTTTTTTTTTTAATTGAACCCAGGGGCACTCCACCACTGAGCCACATCCCCAGCTCTATTTTGTATTTTATTTAGAGACAGGGACTCACTGAGTTACTTAGGGCCTCACTAAGTTGCTGAGGCTGATTTTGAACTCACAATCCTGCCTCAGCCTCCCAAGCTGCCGGGATTACAGGCGTGTGACATCTCGCCTGGCTCCAAATTATTTAATCTTTATAACAAGATTGTGCTTTGTTCCAGGTGAGCAAGAATAAGAGTATTATACAATACAGAGTTGTAATCTTCTGCATCATGTTTTTTAGCTCACAGATTCTTGCACAGCCTCACTATTTGAAGAAAGTTCATTCTGAAAATCTGAAGCAGTTAATGGGTAAATATGATCAGTTATCTCCACCAGGTTCTCAGCCTGAGAAGGGTAAGCTTTTGTTCACCTCATCATCCTCATCTGTGCCCTCTGCAGTGTTTGGGGACCAGCTTCTTTCACTTAGTATAGCATCCTCCTGTTCCTCTACGACATATTATGTATCAGTACTGCATTCCTTTTTATCGTTGAATAATATTCCATTGTATGAATGTACCACATTTTGTTTTAGTTGATGGAAATTGGGATTGTTCCCACTTTGTATCACTGATAGTATTTATTCCATTATACAAGTCGTAACACCATTTAGCTTATCCATTCACCTATTAATGACATTTTCTTTCTTTCTGGAGCTGTTACAAATGAAATTACTGTAAACATTGATGTCCAAGCCTTTGTGTAGACATAGATCTCCTTTTCTTTGGAGTAGATATCTAGGAGTGATATACACTGGATCATTTGGTAAATGTATGTGTGACTTCTTAAGAAACTGCCTGTGATGGTTTGGATGTGAGGTGTCCCCCCAAAGCTCATGTGTGAGACAATGCAAAGAGGCTTAGAGGATCATGAGAGTCTTACCTAGTCAGTGAACTACTCCCTGATGGGATGAGCTGTGTGGTAGGATGTGGCTGGGAAGGTGGGAGATGGGAGGTGGGCGTGCCCTTGGGGTATATTTTTGCACCTGGTGAGTGGAGTCTCTGCTTCCTGACATAATTCCTGAGCCCCTTCCTCCGCCACACTCTTCCAGCCTCACCTTGTGCCCTGAGGAAGGAGCCAGCTGTCTGTGGACTGAGACCTCTGAAAACGTGAGCCCCCAATTACACTTTTTCTCCTTAAAATTGCTCTTGCCAGGTCTTTTGGTCACAGCAACAAAAAAGCTGACTGAAGCTCTGCCAGACAAGTGAGTTGCGGTAGCCACGCCTGTGGTCCCAATGGACCAGGCTGAAGCAGGAGGATCACAAGTTCAAGGCCTGCCTGGGCAACTTAATCCTGTCTCGAAATATAAAATAAAAAGGACTTGGGGGGCTGGGGCTGGGGCTGAGCGGTAGAGCACTCACCTAGCATGTTCGAGGCCCTGGGTCTGATCCTCGGCACCACATAAAAATAAATAAAATAAAGATATTGTTTATCTACCTACAACTGAAAAATAAATTTTAAAAAAAGGACTGCAAGATTATGTAGCTCTGTGGTAGAACACCTCTGGGCTTAGCCCCAATGCCTGATTTCAAAGTGGTGGTGCCCTTTTCTACCCCTCAGCCCCTCCCAGGAGCTCCAGCTGTCCACTCTCATGAGAGGGGGACTGCAGTCTTCACTTCAGGCCATCTTTACTTCAGGCCTCCTGGAGGGTGGGGATGGCTCCCTGTGGTTTCACTTCACGTTTCCTTTTTCTTTCCTTTTTTTTTTTTAATAATAATACTAGGGATTGAACTGCGGGATATATGCTTTACCACTGGACTACATCACTAGCCCTTTTTAGTGTTTGAGACAGAGTCTTGCTAAGTTGCTTAGTGCCTCACCAAGTTGCTGAGGCTAGCCTCAAACTTGTGATCCTCCTGCCTCAGCCTCCCAAGTCCCTGGGATTACAGGCGTGGGCCACTGCGCCAGCTTAGTTCACATTTTCTTTTTATTTTTTTTTCCTGTGTTTTTTATTGGTGCATTATAGTGGTTCATAATGGTGGGGTTTGTCTTTACATAGTTTACATTTTCTTGATGATAATGATCTTCAACATCTTTTCATGTGTTTATTGGCCATTTCTATTTATTCTTTTCAGAAATATTTCTTAAAATATTTTGCCTATATTTAACCATTTGTTATTTTATTATTATCCTAGTCAGAATTTTTGTGCTATTTACATGGAATAGGAGCTGATTTTTGTAACTCACCCAATTGGGTTTCATTTAGATAAAAGTGGATTTCATTGGCAAGAGAAGAGCTGGTCAGCAGTGACTCTAGAGTGCTGTGCGGCTTGTTCTTGTGAAAGGGGAAACGCAGCTCTGCACAGGTTTGCTGCTGCCTCCTGCCTTACAGGTGAAACCTCACCGATAGCACCCAGGGCATTATCATTCCCTAGTGCACTTTCTGCTGTATTGGTACTTAATCAGGGCTTGAGGTAGGAGAAGAGAGAGAATCAGCAATCCTGTTGCTTGTCCCCTCTCCCCTGCAAAAAGAATCTGACAAGCAAGCAGAAAAGGCATGAATTACACACAGCCAAGCAGGCCTGAGATGCAGCTACCTGGAGGCCAGGGCAGGAGACCACAGGGTGGGGCCGCCTGCAGCCTGGTGAGCCCTGTCTCAGTGAAAACAGACTAGGGCTGGGCACGTGGCTCAGTGTGAGAACGCCTGCCTCCTCGCCTGCTCAGGCCCTGTGCTCCATCGCCAGGACCACAGACAATCCCCTCCTACGTTCCTCCTGACACTCTCTACACCAGGTATCCCCAAGTACCGTCTCCTCAGTTTCCTCCCTCAGCCCTCACATCAGTACTTTGAGAGAACAAACCAGAAGGTATTCTAGAATGCTTTTCCCACCAATCAGAAGTAACGGAATGAAACCATAGCGCTGGGCAGGAGAAACAGAACTCTGTTCCTTCATATGCCTTCATGCCCTATACCCGAGTAGTTTTCGTCTTAGAGCTGAATTTCTGATTTCCAGCATCCCCAAACTGTTTCACAAACATCCTTTTATTTTATTTTCATATATAATTTTTTTTTAATTTGTACTGATTAGTCATCCTTTTATTATTAAGCCTTACAGTACGTAGTCAGGTGAGTATGTGTGTTTATTTTGTTTGAGTAAACTGAACATGTTAAAGATCAGACTACTTCTCAGTGGTTCTAGGACTTTTCTGAGAAAACACATACAGGAAACTGATTAATAGAGCTTCAGAAACTATCTAACCCTTCAGAGGGGGCCACCACTCGTGGTTCTTCCCTACACGTCCGTGTGTGTGTCTTCATCTCAGTCCTGTGATAGGTCCCCTGTCAGCCCCCTCTGCCTCTTCCTTCCATGGTGGAGAGGGTGAAGGTCCCCCTGAGTGGCCTGGGAGGTATGTGACCATGCTGATGCCACTTTTTGGCCTATATTGTCATAACGTTTAACATTTATGATGAAGTTTTAATTTGTTTAGGCTTCTTTGTTTTTCAAAGCTCTTTTCAAGAGCAAAGGAAATATTCAGAACAAAATTATCTAGTAAGGATTTTCTTCCATCTCCTCTACAGAGAATCCCTTTTTGCCAACCTAATGAAGCATTCAAAGTCATATGACTCTTTTTCAAGATGAGCTTGAAGATTACATTAAAGTGCAGAAAGCCAGAGGCTTAGAGCCAAAGACTTGTTTCAGGAAGATGAGAGAGGGCTACCTGGAAACCTGTGGGCACAGAGAGGAGGTTGACTCCAGAGCCAGGTACAGAATGTCTGACCAGAGACCACCACCTGGACTTGTCCAGACCCACCCAAGATCATGCAGTACTCCACAGACAGCGGACGGCCAGTTACCTCAGTGCCTGCCAGCTCAGGACGGCAGGCTGAGACCAGAGTCCCTGAGCGTTTCTCAGCTCCCCAAGGACTGCTTCTTAGGGACACCGGTGCCCAGGAACCTTAGTCAGCGAGAGTACAATTGTGGCTCTTATGACTTGGAGTCCAGTGTTCACAGGCACCTCTCTTCAGGAAAGAGCCCCAGCACCCGTCCAGCCAGCCACAAGCAGGCACATCAGAAGAGGAAAAGGCACCCCGAGGAGGGCGGAGAGGAGGCAGAGGAGGAGCAGCCCAAGCACCGGAGGAAAAGAGGTTCTGAGGAACTGGGTTTGGGCAGACACAGGAGCATCCAAAGAAAGCAAGCAAAGGTGGAGACGGAAACCACGCAGGTCAGTGCAGGAAAGCCCAAGAGCCGGAAGGAGAGAAAGAGCCGAGCGGCGGCCTCGAGGAAAGAGGGCCGCAAGCACAGAAAAGCCAGCAAGGACCAAGGCCAGGAGAGGACCGAGGAGGAAATGCTCTGGGACCAGTCCATCCTCGGGTTCTGAAGCAAGCGCCGGCGCTGGTCCTCCCGGGTGGCGCTGAAGACAGGGTTGCGGAGCTGGTTATGGTGCTGGTATGCACAGGGCTTCCCTGTTAGATTCCTACGAGGCCACAGACGTGCAGCATTTCATGTGCTTGCTCCCCAACGGGGAGTCACCCTTTCTCCTTTTCTAAAAGCACTGTTATGTTGTTCTTACACGATGGGTTTCTCTTTAGGAGAGTGACTCTGCTTTTATTCATCAAACTGCTAGGATGGGATTATTTCCCTTGGGAGATCATTTATTTTAAATTTGAGGATGAATAGACTTTGCAGAATCTGTTTCTTGGTTGGGATTGTTTTAGTTTTGAGTGGGATTTTTTTAAGTTGATTGATTTTTTCTCTATGCAGCAATTTAGATTTTTTTCCTTTGTTAGCTCTAATGGCATCATATTTTCTAGGTTGGAAAGTGGAAAATAAATATAATAATAGTAAGATAATGTTTCATATAGTTTTAAAAGTTTTGAAGAGTCTCAATAAAAAATCAGTTTATATTCTGGAAATGTTTATAATAAAGTGTTCTAATTTCTACACGTTGTTCTGTGTCAGTGGTCTGTTCCCCTCAGTGATGAGTTTCCTTGGCGAGTGGAAGAGCAAAATAACAACAAGACAGTTTGTACGTAAGCAGCCAGATCTTTGGGGTGGGACACTTCAGAGTTGTGGAAGGTCTTTATCTCCTGTACCAAGCATATTCATATTTGAACTCAGTTTTCAGAGGAGAAATGTGTGACTAATTTTCCAGATAGTTGACCCTGAAGAGATGGGAATGTTTAAGAGGTGAAATGCCATTCACTCCCCCATCCTGACAACGCTGTGGGGGACATCAGCAGACACCAAGTGCTGGGGAGCCTTCCGAATGGCTCAGGTCCAGTAGGCAGCACCTGATGAACAGTCCACACTGCAAGTATCATGAAGGTCCTTTGTGAATGGGATTAAATCATGGAAATTGGGCAGGGGAAGGCTATATACATGATGCTGATGATCTTGAGGAAGCCCTGTGGTTTGTGCAATCTTTTTAAAAAATTTTAGGATAGGGAAAAAAAATGTTTGTAGGACGGAAACATTGCCCTAAAATATGAAGGGAGGCCTTGTTCTCCACCCCGTTCAGCATACACGGGGCTATCAGTGGTGCCGCTGTGGCTGAAGCTGAGATTTCTTCGGGCAGCTCGCTCTCCTCTTCTGCCCCTTCAAGGGTAGCACTTCCCAAGAGCAGAACCTAAGCTGACTGGGAGATGGGGGAGAGAAATTCTGGCTAGATTTGAAGGGAAGTGTCAAAACTGGAGTTTTTGTCATAACACAGATGAACCAAGACTGAGAGCACCAGGCCTGAGGGGTGCCAGGAAGGAACCTGGGACAGTGGGCTTGGGCTGTCTCCACCCCAGGCTGCACACTACCTGAGGAGGCCAGCCAGTCCACATGGGACGGGCTGTAGCTGGGTGGCATCGGATCTGTGGGTGGGAACAGGCCTTGGGAAGACGTGTCACTAGGGGTCAGCTCCCACTGGAAGGTGAGGGAGCAGGAGTGTGTCCCCCGCAGAGGTACTACCGTACCCAGAAGGCCATAGACGGGCATATTTCTGGGTGAGGACAGAAGGAGTCTGGAGCCGAGCTGGGAGGAGCAGAGGTGTCCACAAGGCTGTGTTATGGAACTTGGATTTGTCCTGCATTAGACATTGAAGGCCTTGAGTTCCAGTATTTAAAAGACCGCTTCCCACAGACTCTGGACCCACTCACCCCAGACATTCTGAAACTTTGGCTTTAGTGGATCCTAGAGTGTGACTGGAGGGAGCTGGGTGTCTGATGCCCAGAGCTTGGGCCATGAGAACATGAGGGCTCCTGAAGGACAGCTGGATGGGTCAGGGGGCGTTCACAAAGCCATAGGCATCTTCAGTGGCAGGGAGAGACATGACTACTAGGCAGTGTCCCCAGACCTTGGATTGAAGAACTTCCTCCTGAGGAGTAAGGGGACAGGGAAATAGACCACTCTTGAAAAAGCACCCCACTGAGGTCGCTGCGTTACACCTCCTCTGTTACCTGAAACTAAGTTTGGGGGTTAGGGCAGGCAAGGCAAACCAACACCAGAAAGGTCAGGCGGGAGGCTGTCTCAGGGTCCCGGAAAGAGACAGGGTTGGCCTGACCAGGGCTGGGCAGTGAGGTGGAGGCAGCAGTGAAGGCAGCACTGCTCACTGACAGGCCGACTCCGGGAGGAAGTGAAGGACTAGATTGCTTGGGAAGAGATGTGAAGCTGGGTCTTGACATGGAGCTGCAACCTGCTGGACCCTCATGAAGGTCCCCAGTAGAGATGCTTGTGTTTGGCGGGTTCCTTGCATGTGGGTTTGAGGCCACGAGGATGAGCAGTGACCGGGCAGAAACTGAAGAGTTGGGACAAACCCTGGCGATGGCAAAGCCACACTTAGAAAAAGGAAGAGGAAAGGAAAAGGCCAGGAAGTGAGCAGAAATCTCATAGGTTCAACTCTACGAGCACATGCATGCAGGAGTCTAATGTGTGTGAGTGTGTGTATGTGTGTGCGCACACTAGTGCTTGCCTGACTGCCTGTCTCATGACCCAAAGTAGCCAAGAAGAAGGGACAGCAGGGAGGAAGGGAGACTGGATGCCCTACCATCTTTCAAACAAATGACCACAAGCCTGCAATCCATCCAGCCTTCCTAGTCAGCTCCCACTCAGAAGGTCTGTCTCATGTTCTGCCCCTCCCTACCTTCTTGTGTGGCCCAACTAGGGCTCCTTCTCTCAGCTGATAACCTACCTCCCACTCCACTAGGGAGATAGATGCCTCTGTCTGTCTGCCTCCTGCACACAGCCCCACGTTCCCATTGTTACAGGGAAGACGCCCTGCTCACA